CTCCGGCAAGATATTTGGTTTTTCTTCAATAATGATACGATACTGATATGAAAATCATACCCTTAACTTCACCCCTCTGCGGTCAGCCACTACATTCCCCTCTATTTTTTTCAATGGCATGGAGGGTCGAGTGATACATCACTTGAAAAGTCTTTGTCCCTCTATTTCTGTATCTTCTTTTTCGAAATTGGTTCATTCGTTATTGAGGAATAGAATGTTGAAAGTTTTATTCAAGAAAAAACAGAAAAGTCGCTGTCGCTCATTTTATTAAGGATATCAACAAAAGTGATATCAATGACAACACAATCAACGAATGAAGCAGTAGAGTACACTTTCGACTTCAGGTGTCTCCACAGAAAGAAGCCCATCGGTGTGAGATCTGGAGATCTAGCTGGCCACTCCACTGGACCCCTTTTGTCGATCCAATGCACTGGAAAACGTTCGTCCAAAAACTTTCGCACTCGAACATCAAAATGTGGGAGTGCACCATCCTGTTGGAATGTTATTTCATTCATTGTCATAATTTTCTAAAATTTGTGTTATCATAAGATCTACACAGTCTTGTAATAGATTTAAGCATGTGTCTCCATTGAGATTGCCTTCAATGAAGAATGGTCCAAAAATATGGTTACTAAGAATGCCAGCCCAGATATTCAATTTTTGTGGAGTTTGTGAATGTGTTTTCATCACCAAATGAAGAGTGAAGAGTGAATGAGCTCCAGTAACGACAATTACGTCTTTCCATTTCACCATTCAACATGAAAGAACTTTTGTCTGAAAAACATGTATTGTATAATAAATTTGGGTTATTGGTCAATTTCTCGCTAAACAACTCACAAAACTGAAGTCGACGATTAGGAGCATCTTCTTTCTGATTCCCGAACCAGCCTTATTTTGGAAGGATGGAATTATTTGTAGGTTTTCAAAATCCGAAAAACACTAGTAGCTGATATACCAGACGCTCTAGCTATTTGTCTGATAGATTGTCAATTATCCATTTGTACATGTCCTGAAACCGCAACTTCAACTCCGTCATTTCTGACAGGATGGGATACTTCATGTTTTCTGTTATGAACAGAACCTGAAATTCGAAACTTATCCATTAACTGTTTAACGTATTGATGGCTCACGTTGTGGTCTGGATGATTCGTATCATAAATTCTTGCAGCAACTTTAGCACATTCATTATTTCGATAATAGGTTGCTACAATTTCCATTCTTTCTTCAGTAGAATAAACCGTGTTGAAATACAGTGAACAAGGATGACTGAATAATAATTCGTGAAGAAGTGACAGTGGCCAACTATCTACTTTTCGTTCTGCGACAACTAGATTCAACAGAAACTACCAGTGCAGAAAAAAATAACAGTGTCGTCCATTTCAAAACGTTTACTACTAATTAAATAAATTCTACAGATCTAGAACACTTTATCCGTTGATTGTGTTGATTTCCCCAATAAAATAAGCGACAGCGGCATTTCTGTTTTTTCTTAAATAAAATGTTCAACATTAAATTTCTCAATAACGAATGACAAAAACAATTTAAAAAAAATTACAGAAGTAATAGAGGGAGAAAAGACTTTTCAAACGATGTATCACTGGACCTTCTATGCCATTGAAAAACATAGGGGAGGGTAGTTGCTGACCGCAGGGGGGTGAAGTAGCGGGTATGGTTTCCATATCACAATCAGTCCCCCTAGAATGGAGGACAGAAACGGACAGGGGGGTCAACTTACGTTGGAACGCCCTGAACTTCACGATGACTTCCTTATTTCTCCATTACTTATATTTTTTTAATCTTGAGGAAAACCTTCTTCATCTCGCCGTGAGAAGCCCAACATTTTTTATTAATGTACATCTAACAATGATTTCTTTGGCTAATTGTCTCACTAGTGATTACATTTACAGTAACATTTAATTAGACAGCACTCGCAAGTGTCTTTTAATAATTAATATCTTTATCATTTCGTCTAACAGCATGAAAAATATTTGGGATTATTCTTAAGATAATACATGTATCACCAAATTTCTACAGAGTTGTTAATGTCTCTGCAGTAGTTTATTCTATACATTTTGATTTTATTTTATACACATTTCAAGTCACTCCAAGTTTCATTCAAATATTTTGAGTCTCTCAATGAGTGAAATTGAGTCGAAGTTGCATTTTCTTCCTTTCGAGAATATGGAATATTTGATATTTCTATAACGATATCAAATGGAAATACTTCAATTGATAAATTCACCCCAATACAAATTACGGTTTCTCAATTTATAAGAAATGGAAATGTTCAGTTTTCATAATATGCAGCTTTTCAGTGATAGTATCTAAATATTTCGAACACAATTTCAAGTATCGAAGGATCATTTTTTTTCAAAAGTTATGGGTAAACAAGTGGGAAAAAATAGTATTATTTCTTGTTAACCTTTCTTTGTGTTTTTTCCACCTTCCACATGAAAATTGTAAAGTTCAGCCCAATAAGTTACTGCCTAAATTCAAGTTATTTTCTACAAAAAATGTTTGTTCTATTCATTGGTAGCTTGTCGTATTTATTGATTTCACCTATCAAAAAATTATTTTTTTTCAATATTTGTGTTATTTTATAAGTTGTAAAAAATTGAGCTGAATATAAATTATCAACAACACAACAAAATTGCTCAGTCCACTGTATTATGTAACAATTTACACCAGCAGGCATAGATTAATTTGAAATCACCAAGTGGTGTAGTTATATTTCACTGAAGAGTTCAAATATTTTTTCAGAATCTGATGAAAAGAGGCACAAGTAGTTGTAAAAAATATATAAGAAAATAATTATTCAGAATGATATTTTTTGATTTGATTTCCATAAACTTTTTGAGTATTGCATATTATTTGTACCATTTTCAGTTGAACTTCTGTTGCTTTTCATGAGATTCATATTTGGATTCTACCACTAGAGCTATCATAATTATTTTTGTTATCGATCTAAGTATCACATCATCTACTTGAAAGTAACTATTATATATTTCTTCAAAATTTAGGGATTTCTTAGTCCAAATTCAGTACCAGAATAAACGAATTTCACTTGCATCCAGGTACTATTTCATTTTAGTTGTAACAAAAAACGGCAGAGGTGTCTAGATAGTTCTGTTGATGGTAACAATTCGAAAGAAAAAAATTAAATATATGGAAATTGTGTTACTCTGAGTTGATCAGATGCTAGCAGTAGCACCTTTTCAGTTGACAAATTTCTGAGACGAGTAACGAAAGCTGTTTAGAGAAAATCAGCACCAATTGTGGCAATATGGAGAGTAGATTATTGAACTTGGTCAAAGAAAAAATCGAAAATGAAATTGTTCCAAAATGTACAGAACACTGGATTGAGAAATTCTGCTTGCTGTGAAATCGAATATTATTTCAACATTTTTCGATTTCATCACAATGAAAATTTACATTTTCAATTTTATATGCAGAGAGTTTGAATTTAAATAATTTCATTCCATGTGGTTGATTTCTGAATTCTGCATAAAATACTTTCAATTTTCGAAAGTATATGATAGCATTACCAGTATATGATAGCATTTTCAATCTTTCTCTGAGAATCATGCCATATTTCTCATGGATTTATACAATATACCTCCACTGAACAAACAAATAACAAACACTAGAAGTTCTTTTGAAAGTGATATATGCGAACTGAAGTAGTTATCCTCCATCCAGAACTGCTCAACTGCTATAAACAGTCCCGTAGTCCCGACATTCAAAACGTATCCCGACATCCCATCTCGTTATTATTCAAAATCCTACACTTAGCCCCAAAACTACATCCGAGTCTCTGATATCACATCACACTCATCTCGCCGATGCGAAATTCACGATAGTCCGGTTATTCTTCTTTGATTTTCAGAAGTTGAGGAATATTTTCCACTAAGTTCCAGATAACTGCGTTCATGATCATCTATTAGAAACCGTGGATGACCTTGAACGCAAAATATTGGTCCGACATCCACTCGCAAAGAAATTTCAACATCGTACGACTATCAGCCACATCAGTAATAACAATCTGTTCCCATTATGTCTGTGAATTTCAAAGAATATTATTGAAAGAGACAAAAATACCAAACGAAAAAAGCTGGTCATTTGATATGCTTTTCCAGAAATCTTTCAAAAATTTTACTCTATTCTTTTGTTGTATTGAAACTATGTTCAACTCAACCCAATTTTTGTATAGCTTTTTTGCTTTCTACTTCCTCCAAAGTATTCGAGAGATATCCATCGGCCACTTGCATCAAAGTTTGGCCAGCAAACCCTCATGCCACATATGGTCGAAAGCCTTAAGAAATGTCAAGCACAACAGCTTTTGACTCTTAATGCTTCTAGATTGCGTAATTCCAAATGTGGGTGATATACAGAAGAACAACTGTTGATCTTTGTTTCCGAAAGTGTAGGTAAATTATCATATGTTTCAGGGACAATAAATTATATAAACTTCTGGTTGTGTATTCATCAATAGTAAGGTTTATTGGCAGTTGAATCATCTGAAAATGGAATTTTTAACAGGTGATGATCGACTGTATTGTCAAACATGCGCTAAACTAACTGACTGTTATAAGGAAACAAGTATTTCTGAGGCACCAGTCAATCTTATAATAACACTGATGATCTTCAAACAAGACTCAACCTCTGACGGAAGCAAGAAACTCTTTGGAAGGTTCGAAATAGGTGAACATTCTAATCTAGCAGACCACTAGTATAATATTCATGCAGGCATTGTTCACTGTGGTTCTGGCGTTGAATTTGGTCATTATTACGTCTTGGTCAAAGACGAAACGGACTGGTTTAAGTTTGACGATAGTCGTGTTCTGTCGATGCATTGAATCTATTGGAGCCTCCGGAGACACCCTACATTGTGTTTCATAAGATTGAGGATATTGGTAGATCAAGGTGTTCAGATGACGTGGTGCTGCAGGTTTTTCCGGGTTTTCCTGCAGCTGAAAAAGCAAATGCGCCAATGGAATCAATGAAGTCGCCCCGGAGCGCCAATTATTTTTTATTGTTGTTTTTATTTTTATAGTTGTTTCAATAAATTAGTTTGGATAATACATAGCTGATGATGAACATATTGTGATTATTATGTGATGATCATATTTTCGGGTTCGAGTTCGGCGTTTTCTTGCTTTTTACCCCTTTCCCCAATATAGCTATTGCATGTTGAAGAAATATAATAACCCAGAAGTTATATCTCCCCTTAGCAATAAATATCAGTGTTTGAGAAAACGAAAAAAAAGTTGTATTTTCATTGTATTCCATTGACTAAGAGTGAGTACGACATTGAAAACTCTATCTGTAAAACGATTTGTAACACTTCACTTCTGTTATCGCATATATCATATACAAAATCAGTCAATTCCACTATTCGAAGTAGAAGAAAATACCTCAACGACTTTGGAAATCTTAAATTTTCCCGGTCTAACAATCAGCCTCCTCGTAAGTTTCCCTGATAAAGTTCGAAGACGGGGTCCTGATGACGTAAGAGCTATCAGTAGAAGCAGGCGTTAGTAGTGGCGTTCCCTGTAGACTGATAGCCAAAGGAAGCGCTGAAGGGGTGCAAAGACTGGTGGCACCTCGATTATCGTTCACGGATCTGTATCTCACGGGCCTGGAGAGCCTGAAATGATAATAATTTTTCATGTACTGATTTTCTGGTTGCGATAATGTTTTCATAATTCAGACAGATAACGAGTAGGGATTACTTTTATGGTTTTCTGGTATTATGTGGTGCTTCTCTGAAACATTAAGAGTATTATTTGATGCAAGGTTTCAGAAAACGTGAGCCCTTGTCCCGAATAGCTAATTGGGTAGATATATAGAATATATCATTTTCTTTGAAGAATGTAAAAACTTCAGTGGAACGAAACATAAATTGTTCACATGTAACACATTCAGTCGGATATTTGATGAACCATGAAACCATTCAAAACATTTCATAGAGGAATCGAAAATAGTTTTTCGACAATTGTTTGAAATCTCTTTCAATTTTCATTACATCATAAATGTATGAATATTGTATTTACCCTAATTGTATGGTGTGGTCATTCCATTTGGAATGGAGGTGAAATATCTTGGCATTGTCCTTGATAAAAGACTCACCTGGAACGCTCATTTGGAAAAACTTTTACACAAAGCCAGACTGTCTCTATGGACATGTCGAAGGATTTGTGGTAACACTTGGGGTTTAGGTCCCAAACAAATCCATTGGATTTATGTAATGACTCTCAGACCAATGATCACGTATGGTGCAACTGCAACTGGCCGAAGGCTTTACAGAAAACGGCCCAAGCGAAGCTCTCTGGCTTACAGAGACAGACTTGTCTGGTTATCAGTGGTGCCATCAGTACCACACCGTCAGCGGCCATGGAGATCCTTCTAGATTTACCTCCTCTCCACATTTTTCTGGAAAGAAAGGCTAGATGGACTGCATACAGACTTGTGCACATTGCCAATTGCACAAATCGATTCAATGCAGAGTGCAACACACAGCATTCTGGAAATGACCTCTGACTTCATGCCTCCAACTGTCAACTACGAACTGCCTTATAAAGTACTATTCCCGAGTAGAGAGGACTGGATCCTGCGGAAGAAGGAAATATTAAGAGCAGATAGTTGTTGGTTCACAGATGGATCAAAAACACCTTCTGGTTCTGGTGCTGGTGTTTTCAGTCGCAGGACAGAGTTATCTACCTGCCTAGGAACTTATGCGATTGTATTTCAAGCGGAAATTTACGCTATTGAATTGTGTGCGGAGAGATTGGATGAATCCAACCTCACTCACAAGTCAATAAAAATATTCTCGGATAGTCAAGCGGCGTTGGAAGCTCTTGGCTCCCATCGAGCAACGTCTAAATTGGTAGCAAACTGCCAAAAAAGACTCTCCTCGATAGGGAGACTAAACAGATTGTCTCTGGTCTGGATTCCTGGCCATACTGGCCTGGAAGGCAAAGAAGCTGCTGACTCTCTCGCAAAGGAGGGTGCTGCAAGCGGCTTCATCGGACCAGAACCTGTCATTGGCATCGCTTTGGGCTTTGCCAAACAAACACTTAACACCTGGATGGCAAGAAGAATTATGGACAGAATCTTTCAGGAGTGGCTCACCCTTCGAAGCTTGATTCCAAACAGTTGTCGGACTACAGTAGGGATGAACTACGATGTCTAACAGGCCTTCTTACACGTTAATGTCATTTGAATCATCACATGTAGAGACTTGGACTGTCGGAAGACAGTGTGTGTCGCCTCTGTCTGGAAAATGATGGAACTGCAGAGCATATACCTTTTGTATGTCCCGCTGGGGACCGAATCAGGATTTTTGAGTTCGGCAGATCCGTACTCTCACCATCTGACCTGAAAGACCACTCACCATATAAACTAATCGGCTTCGTTAATAAGCTGGGTTTATTTGGCCGAGTGTGAATAGGTGTGAGTCACAATAAACCCTTATGGGTTGCGGTGGAGGGTCGAATAGACCCACTCACCTTAGACCTACCTACCTAACCTAATTGTATCTATTCCAGTAACTAGTTGGGGAACACCAAATATCTATTATGGAAAAACAATTGTAGTCAAATTTCCACTCATTGTGACTATTGTAATAACCGGTCTCGTAGTGTGCTCGTTCCAAAATTGAAGCTCGACTCTTTCAGTTGTATTGCCAATTGCATATGCAGAAAATTTTCTGTGAAGATTCCTGCACTGATGCCTGTCGGATATAATCCAACGCCCTTCGTGGTATTAGCCAGGGGAGTAGTTGTTTTCTCATAGGCGTCAGTCCATTCAACCTACTGTGTAGGTATCGAAGACTGGCTTGAACGTTTGAAGTTCATTTCTTTGGAATTGCAATAACTGCTGGTAATTCTCTATTCGAACGGATGGATATGATGTTTTTACTGTACAGAAAAATTAATAATACATTCATCGCATGTGAAGACGTTACTGAACTATTTTTGGTCCTCACTTTGTTCGTTATATTTAAAATTATTCAAGAAAAATCTTTCAGGTATCAGTGAAAATCAAAAAGAATATTGGCAAAGGAAGTACTTTCAGTTGAATACCCAGATTCGAAACTATTTTTTAGCTACATTCTAATGAATACTTGACTGTATTTTGGTTAGCTGTATTTTGGGAAATAATAGGATTCATATTCTATTCATATTCTATTATATTATTGAATGCCTGGAAGTTATTGGGAATATTTTCAAATATTTTGGAATAGTTTTTATATTTTGTTTGGAAAGATAATGCAATATATTTGAATGTTGTGAAACATTTATGATGAACATTTTTCAATTAATGATTCATTCATCTGGAATCCTGTCTTCAATGAAAACTTCTAGGAAAAATTAATAGCTTCAAAAAACTTTCTCTAACAGTTCGAAATAAAAATTTTATATCCCGTAGTTTTATAGTGGACATGCGCATATTTTATTGAAGTGATAACTTCTTATGGGGGGTAAACCGCTTCGTTATTTTCGCTTCGTCAGCGGAAGACAGGCGTCTCCTGTCTCGTCGAAGCATCGGACAGAGACGTTTGTGTTTAGCGTGCGCTAGACATGTAGTGTTGACAGTATTATAGAAATCTAACCATCAAGTACATAATATTCTTCACTATGTGATTACTGGAAGAATGGGTCCCACAAGGTGCAGTACTTTCGCCATACCTCTTCTCGGTATACACAGCAGACGTGCTCAAGCCAGAGAACAACTTTAACAAGTTGGCACTCTACGACACAGCTCTGATGGCGAGATCAACAAGCCAAGCGGTTGTCACCAGATACTTGCAACAGCAGGCGAACAGACTAGAGAAAAGGGTCAATTTTTGAAAAATCAATATAAACCCTGAGAAGTGTCAGGCGATACTGTTCACCCGGAGGCTGGTACACCTGGAAGGAAACGTCACCTTCAACGGACAAGATATTCCGTGGACCAACGAAGAGATGTACCTGGGAGTCACCCTCGACAGGAGACTAACGTTCAAGACATACGTACATTAAATAGGGATGACCCCGGTTTCCGAGAAAGAGATAAACACAGAAGACAAACCAAGCAGAATCAGAGACCAGCCCGAGAGTCGCATCAGGCGAGTATAAAAACTTTTTTACCAGATTTCGAACCTACTTCCTTTCCAGATTCACCGAGAAATACTAATGACACTCATCTCCGGTTAGTTTTTGAAGGCCACATGCAATAATCACAAGTAAAGTCACGATTCAATAAAATATTAGATTAGAAAGTAAAAGCACCTAAAGGATGGATTTCGACCACAGTAGGTCAGATATCAATCTTTTGAGGACCGCAGAGAGCAGGGATGGATGGACGAGATGGAATGTTCTGCACACAGTAACCGTGTGGGAAAGAATTCATCACAGGGCACTCAACCCAAGAGGGGGCACGAGGATGAAATATTCTTTTATTATGTGAAACGTGGCTTGAAAATGATGATACTTATTTGAGTTATCAATTCTATCGGGCGTTCCAAGACGCACATGTTTTTTCCAACAGAAACTAAAATATCTCGTGAACGGTTGATTCGCCTGATATAGGAAATGTTTCATGTGAATGATTTGAAATCATCTTGAAGGATTTCAAAATTATCATGAAATACAGGGTATTTCATTTGAAAAACCTTGACTCATTTTCATATCTGCATAATTTGTCATCGATTCTTAACATCTTGTATAACATTTTCACAAGACGATGGAATGAAGTATTCCAATGAATTGGTGATAGCTTATTTATGTATCCTATCAAATTTTTTAATTTCATAGGGAAATAACTGCAGAGCAGTATACATAGTTTTTTGAGAAAACAAATCAACATCTCAAACGGTTCAATTTTGGTACAGAGTGTTTCATAAACTCGCATTACCGAAAGTGTTGGAAAAACGCCATTATTTTCATTTGATAAAACATAATGAACTTTCATTTGCCAATTTTCAGAATATGCATCCTATTATTTTCCGAAATACGGCTAACCAACGGTCAACGCGCTGTTCCATGTTTAGGGAAATGAACGTCAAACATGTTCTTGGAAGAAGAATGGCGAAGAACTAACAGTTAGGTATCCTGAAAATATGCATAGCAGAAACACCTGGTATACAGAAAGGTCGAAAACTGTTAGCTGGAATTTACTATGTATGGATAAATCTACATTTGAGTTAGTAGCTCGATCAATATACATTAGTATTCTAAGCTAAAGTGTAGGCAATCTTTCAATGCTCAAGGAAAATTAATTTGCGGCTTCAACGGAATGAGCGGATCAATATTTTCATCGACAGCTCAACTACATCGGAAGCACTGATAAACTAGCAAGTGATATCGGAACCAATCTAGAAATGCCGTGTAATACTGAGGGAATCGACTGAAAAAATAAAAGAATAATTTAACCCAATCCTGGATTCCATAACACTCACGTATTACAGGCAATGAAAAAGCTGATGTGGGTATCAGAATCTTCAGTAAGGAACATAAATGTTACCAGGAAAAGCATACACGAAAACAAAGTAGGAGAAAAGTAAGGACCGTCCGAGAAGAGAACCACTTCAACAAAGCAGGATTCGTATCAGACCAATCACAGAGCTACTTACTGCACACTATTCATTGAGAGGATATGTTAACAAAATACGGCTGTACAACGAAGACCTTAGTTGCAGACAATGTATCAAAGGGGCAGAAACAGCTCATCATATTTTATGCGAATGTGATTCACTGGATCATAGGAGACAAACAATTTATGGAGAACCTAAATTTATAGACTTAGATCATTCTTGCCCCCCTAATATGAGCTGCAATTCTCGTGATTCTGGTACCCTTTCAGTGGAAGAGCTTCATGAAGCAAGAGCCGAATCGATCCCTGTACGAAACCCTTGATCACTTGGAAGGATCGATTGCAGCTTGAGAAATGAAAAATCACTTGCTACATGAAAATCATTTTACAAGTGAGGTTCATGATGAAAAATTTCAAGAACGAGGATCAAACGATGAACAATAACGAGGATGTTTTCTACTTATTCACCAAAATTAAACAATTGTTCATGCAGTTGCAGTTTCCACCAATGGATTTCTTTGAAGTCCACTAGATACTCGTTAGGACAACAAGAGGATTGTTCCGAATTCCTGGGGTTCTTGTTGAATACTCTTCGTGAGCANCTCATAAAAACAAAGTATTCTATATTCTCCACCTAATAAAAATTTATTAAAATTACGTTCGAGATGGAAATGAACAAACGAAAATAAGCAGCAAGAATGAGAAAAAAGGATTGTTACACTCTTGAATGTTTAGGTCGAGGTCCATGAATAAACGCTCATTTTGTTTTGAATGTACTTTGTTCAGTCTTTTCGAAAGCTACCCCATTAATTTTGTATCCTGCCAAGTGTGGAAAATATTGCAGGATTTTCATCAACAAGCTTGTTCAGTTCATGAATTATCCAGGAGAGAACCAATCAGAATATGCAGGTAGGAGGCACTGTTATGCAAGAACCAATTATTATATTGATGAAAACTACTACCGCGTCAACCTACTACTAGTTTTCAGGAAATATGGGTGAAATTTCAGGAGGGTACAGATGGTGATGGAAATAAAGACTTTGGAAGAGGAGTAATGGATGCTTTTTTCAAATTGATTCATATGGATATCCGAATGAAATGAGAACCTAAACTGGATATCTTTTCAGTGTGAGAAGTAATACTTATGGAAAAATTGAATTACTCTCACCTGAACAACTGAATTTTTTTTCTCCTCCAGAACACAATATATTTTTCAAAAAATTTGTGATGCTAATTTACATTGCAAGAAACGTCAATGTTCTGAACACTCAAGACTGATTCAATTAAACCCATACAACTATTGTATCACCAATTTGAACAAAAAATCAAAATAATAAGTCATGTAATTTTTGTCCTCAATCAATTTGGCAACTGTCACTGTAGAATCTACCTTTTTTCTGATTCTCTACTTCTCTACCTATTGAAGATTTCAACATGTTTCGGATGAACATGGATGAGTTGTTCTGGAATCCAAATGCATTAATAAATACTTCGAAATATATTTTGATTCAGTTATTCGATGAGAGAACTTTGTTTTAGATGGTAGATGAACTACAAACAGATAATAGCCTATTATCTGAATATATGTTCAACTGCTATAAGTTTGACTCTTATAATACTGGATAAAGTCGAGAATTTTCAACTGAGTTATTAATTTTCAAAAATTCATAGACGTAACACTGGTGACAGTGGTGGGATTATTGTCACTGAAAAAATACAAATTCTATGAAGGAACTGAAGTAGTGGAAACGAGTTCTTGAGTCCTTGAAGTCCATAAGTCAAGGAAAGGGTGGAAGGAAAGTCAAGGAAAGGGTGGAAGCAACTGAAAGAAAAAGAAAGCTGATGGAAAGCTAGCAGAAAGCAAGAGGAAAGATAAGGGAACTGGAAGACGAAGACGAATCAAAAGACGAACTCATTAGAGAGAAGAGAAGAGAGAATTGAGTGAATAAGTCCATCGAATACTACAAAAAGAGTATACACAGTTGGAGATGAGGCGATAGAAATTCTAGATGAAATTCAGACTTTCAGTGTTTTAATGAGAATGATGGAAATCGGTCAAGATGAAAGAACAAATCATAAAGGGGTTAATTGAACAATCAGACAGAATTGGAGTATACACTCTTATATGTTCCTCTTGGGCAGACTACACATAGGAAAATAGGCTTTCGTAGTCAAGTCACGATTGAGAAAAACGAAATCCGGGCTGGCAGGCCTGGTCTGAGAATAGGTTTTTATCAATTTCTCTCATATCCCTAAGTGATGAGGGTGTTTCACCCCAAACCTCTATTTTAGTTTTTGAACAAAATTTTTTGTTTTGATTTTTTCATACAATAACATTGAAAAAATCACTCTCCATTTTCACTCTTTCATCACTAACCTCTATTTTTTCAGTCATTTTATTGATTCAGTAATTTTTAATCATGATCATAGATCAGTCATTTCCACCAGGCATCTATGGTGTCACATCTCACTCAGTAAACATTACGGAATAGAAATGATCCTTCTCTCACCCTCTAAATAGTTTTCGGTCACTATCATTGTTTATCCATCGAGCGTAGATACAGTTTGTGATACCAGCGAAGTTTTGATATATTCAACAGAGTTTTCAAACTCATTGGATTTACCAGGCATGCCACCGCATAATTACCAACTGAAAGTTGGATTGCTTTGTAATTTGATTCCACCACGGCTGTGCAACTTTACACGATTAGTCATCGAGAACGTTGTCGATGCCAGCATTTTGAATAGCAGGCTCCGAAATGAAAAAATACCAATACCACGAATCCCTATTATACCTACAGATGTCCCACATCATTTGAAATGTGTTCAATTTCCAATCAAACTGGCATTTTCAATGACTATTAATATGTCTCTAGATCGAACAATGTCAGTTTATGGCTTGCATTTGAGCACACCTTGTTTTTCAGATGGAAAATTATATGTGGCCTGCTCTCAAGTGGGAAAACCATCAAGTTTGTTTGTGTTAGCTAAACATGGACTAGCGAAAAATATTGTTCACAGCATAGTATTAAGGGATTAAAATCATTTGTGAGTGTTGTTCTGATAAAAATGATCAATATGGCAAAACAACGTTTGCCGGGGCAGCTAGTAGATTTATAAGTAATTGAGGCTGAGGGGTCCCAAATCACGATTCCTCGAATGTTCATTATCCGAAAGAATTGTTTGTATGATTATTAGTTTACCTATGCAACTTTTTGAAATTAGCAGGTGTTAGCAGCCACATCTTGTTAGTCGCGACAATTTAAACGATCATCCAACTTACTTCCCGTTAGCCAATACTAGTCGAAGAGAACCTCCCACTGCTGGAAAACGGACTTATAACGACATACCTCCGGCATCTGCACAGCAACAACCTAATGAAGGCCGCCCGAAACGTTCTGTTGAACACCGTGTAGATGATGGGGTTTATAGTTGAGCTGACGTAGCCCAGCCACAGGCAAACCACCACGACGTCTTTGGGAACTTCGCAGTCGGGACAGACGGCGAAGAGGATGTTGAGGATAAAGAATGGCGACCAGCACAAGACGAATGTGAAGAAAACGATGCCGAGGACTTTAGAGGCTTTCTGTTCAGTGGCGACGGAGTTTGAGGCTAGGGTTTTTCGCTTCACTCGGCCTGCTAGTAATCTGCAATAAAGTACATTGGATTAATATTAGAAATATCAAAGAGACTTCTTCATTTGACCAGCCGCTGTGGATAATAAATCTCAGAACGCGATTTTTGTTTTGCCATCGAACTAGTAGAAAAGCATATATGGTTTTTTGACAGCGGTAGGTATTTTTCCGAAATGATTATCGTTTGACATCTTGAAATTGTATACTGCAACTTTCAGTTTTATGAAATCATCTAAAAAACAACAATTCGTTCAGGCCAGTGTGAAAAGTTCAGTTTTATGCTTTTGTAATAAGATATATTGAGCATACGGTAAAATACTCTTTTTGCAAAAGTCATATAGACTATTGTTTATAAGTAGGTGAGTCAATTTTAACACCCGTGCTAGGAATCACACGTTAAAATGTAAGACCTCATTGATCCTTAGCTCGTACAAGTTTCGACTTCTGAGGGTTGTCGTTCCTAGGGGTGCGACAGCTGGTTAACGAAAAAACATACAGATTTTAAACAGACTTACCTATTCATTTCAGAATCTGTCTGTCTCATTTACAAAAATATAATTCGGATGATTAACGGAAATTTTTTTTTAAACAGAATGCTATCTCGCAGAAAAACATGTCATGTGAGAATTTCTGTCCCAAAGTCAACTTCGACGAAAGATTTTTTCATTTGTGAAAGCAAGAAAATATTCAGTCAAATACCTGAAATGAGGACTCTAAATCATTACAGTCTGTCAAATGTATGAAGAGCTTTCTGAAGTTCTGAATGGTCGTGATCACTAGACTCGCGTTTGTTAGAAGACGGTGAGAGAATCTGGTTGCAATGATGATCACGTAGTGTATATATATATGTATATACACGGTACAGTGCGACAAAAAATTTTGTAGTGGAAATGAGATTCACTTCTGAACTGAAAGTTTCAATAAGACGAATAAAGAAAATGATTGCAAACTTCATTGATGTGAAACATCTATAGACGCACGTAAAACCGACTGCTGGCGTGTCAATGCATGCCGTGGTGACGGGTCGCCATGCGCAAGCCACTGTGCGATTCTCTTCCTACTGCTTTGGCTTTACACTATCTCTCGCCACACTGAGCTCGGATACTTATAGTGTATACATCTGTGTTTACTATATTATACATAATCTGTGTTACACTTCATAAAGAATTTTTTGAAGTAATTGAAAATAAAATATCTCTGACAGTGATAAATCAGGAAGTGAAAGTGAGCAGCAGTAAAGTCAGACTATGGCATACTATCAAGGCATTAGTTAGTTTGTTTGAAGGTGGTTGACAATGTTTCGTGGTGTATCTTATTTTCAGTTTTTTTGCTCAATATAATTGTTTTTTTCAGCTGATCTTTTTAATTTTCTACAGATTTTTTAAGGGATTTTAAATCAATTCATATCACTGGTTAGTTATTTATAATTTTATATTTCATAATTGAAGTGAGCATTTATCTGTGCATTGAGCTTGCATGTATTTGGTTCATCTGTCTTATTCCATTCTTATGAAAAATCATGCACTAAAACACTTGAGAAGTACATTTCATAAAGATTGACAAAATTATATTTTAAATTCAGCTGATAGTGAGTGGCGCAGGAAGGTTTTTTCTATTTGTTATTGAAAAAACACCTAACAGTCAGTGAATGAGCAGTGAATAAACACTCTGTCTCGTTTTGCTCATCCTATATATGTGATTGAAAATATTTGAGTCTACCACATTTTTGACGTCTCATACATATATTTTCCATCAAATTGGCTATTCATGTTACTACATTGCTGAAATTATGTGTCCTACCAGTTTTCTGAATTTAAAAATCATTTGTTCAACCTTACTTTCTGAAAAGTACATGGAGTTGAATAGTTAAATATCGTATTCACATTTCTATTAGGTATTAATATGAAGGTTTGTACGACAAAGCAAAAGAACAATTCTTCGAGTCTCTTTTCCGAATAACAATCACTTCATAATCCACCAAACATAGTCTTTCACTCAATAGACAATTCAATTCACAAAGGCCTGAATCATAGTAAAAGTGAAGTAAAACTAAATCTGACTCTAACATCGTAATGTCTCGACCGTTTGGTTTTCGGTCAGTCCCGAAAGGCCTGGGAAATTCACTGTTATCAACTTAGCAGCCTCTGTTAATCAGACAATTCAATTATTAATCAGACCTTCGTCATGCGATCTGCTGACATTGTCGACGGACTCTGGAGAAAGAGAAACTACGAATTACCGAAGAGAGAGTTGGTTGTGATAAAACAGAGAATTCAGTGGATGAATTGAAAACTACAAATTGGAATTCAGTTCATTCAAAGCAATGATATGAAAACACTTCATCTTTTGAAGACACCAACTTGGTTGGTAAAACCTGTGTTAAACGCATTTCTGGTGATTGGGAAAAGTGCTCATTTCTGTACCTAGAACCAGAGAAAGCTAAACTTCTGAAGCCCACAATTTGTACTTACTACTAGAAATGATACACATTTGACGAATTCCAAAAGCTATGGCCTGCAAATGGTTTGAGTTATTCGGAAGGATAACAGAGATATCCTGTGTAATGATTTGCTTCCATGAAAGCAGAAAAAGTCTCAGCATCCCAGGACTGAAACGCATTAGGTTCATATATAGAAAATCCCATATCATAAAAAACATATTTATTATCGATAGGTAAGGCGAAACCAATCAAACATGGACGCTCAGCTGAAGTCCCAGCTGAAGACGAACATTAGAATCCATTTGTACGCGAGAGGTTCTGAAAGGTGAAGAAAAGAGAACTAAAACTTTTTTATGTTTTTACTACTTTTATTTGTAACTAACGTTACTGCAGTTTCGTCCTATGAGGACTTTTTCAAACTTATACATTGAATTAACTAACAATGATTGATAGCTTGATCGAGCACCTGAATTTTGTTCATTGGTGACAATGTGGATATGCTAATTTGAAAACCGGTGAGTAAACTAAATCGATTTGATCATTTAACAGGTTGCACCTGCAATGTTTATGCTTGTGAATTTTCGAGGATTCCAAATAATTCAGTTTGCAACACTTTCTTGCATAGTGCAAAATTTCCGTATCGTTTAGATTCGGGAAGTTGTGGTTGCATACCAAAGAATGGTTTGAAAACGTCGAATCATTTTTACCTAGTCTGTAGGGCCTTTCATGTTCAGCATACCGTTTTGAAAATTCGACCACATTGTCCCACATAAACACTATTACACTCCGGACACTAGAGCTTATGAACTTCAGATTTCTCCAATTTCTCCAACTCCTTAAGCTTATAAACTCCAAAACAGAAGTTTTCTTCGTTTCCTGCAATTTTGCAATATACAATTCATGTTTATAACAAGTGATGATGCTAAGGAAATGGAAGATTTGAAAAAATGGATTTGAGAAAACAAATAGACCATATTTACGATTTTTTTTAAATAAGCGGACCATACTATAAAAAACCTGTTTTTTAATGAAGTTACAAAATTGAGGACCTGAGGGATATAGCAACTCATCACAAATTAAAATTGGTTTCTGATCGTCATCTACAATTTTTTCTTTAAAGTTTTCTTCATAAAAATTGTTATGAAGGGTATCTCAAATCCATATTTTTTGATTAAGCACACGACTAGTTTGACACTCACGCGGTTTTTCTCATTAACAACTATCTCACTGATATATCAGCAAAACCGAGTTACAACAAACGAACAATTTCCTATCACTCATACATATAACATTGCAATTTGAGCTGACAGCAAACATTGTCTTCTGTGCGTACCAATTTGTTTATGTATATATGTATATCGTATATTAATTTCGTATTCGCGAAGCTTCGAATTTGTCAGATTGCTGAAAACGGTTTCACTATGTGGTAAATACATCGATCATTAATTTCTGGTTGATGAAGTGCCTCAAACAGGAGTTCAACGATTCGAGTAAAGTGATTATTGAGTTTTTGCCATTAGAGCAACGCTCGATGGGATTAATTCGGTGTAGGCGATCAGTGTAGAGGAAAGGTATCGATAGATTGATAGTATGATATCAGAGTAGGTTCTTTTTTCTGAAGAGTGGGGATTATGAACTAGAAAACGCTTGTAATATGTTGGGGAATTGTTTCATTTCTATCACTTTCGATGAGAAATTGTGACTGAGTGGGTAATTTTCTAGAAACTTCCTAAAATTCACTCTGGAACCTCTATATTTTAATACCTACTAGTAGGTAATGCCTATTGGTAGCTCCAAAATGAGTGGATATTTGAATATATAGTGAAAGTAGCGGCTCGTCAGTGGAGGCAAGGGAGGCTTAGCCTCCCTATAAAATTTGAGGCTATTCATCGCAATAAATTAAAAGATATCGACAAATGATTATAATTATTTTTTCTAAAAATCTTGGGTATCATTACTTTACCAATAATTTTCAATATAAATACATTATATGCCCGGAAAAACACTATCACTCGTACACTACGTAGTACGTACCACACTATATTCTGCATCAACAAACCTCAAACGCACCCGAAATAATAAATGCTATACGTCGATGCGTTGCAAGGGAGTCAAGCCTCCGACCGCTTCAAAAAACACAAACTCCGCGAGACCGATCCAGCCAGCGACATACGTCCCGATTTGTAATTTTAGTTGCAAAAATTATAGCGTTAGAGGAGTCTAGTCTCCGGTCTCCGTTAGTGAACGACTGCCTTTGTTTTTGATTTAATTATTCGGACGGGATGCCGTGACGGACCGGGACTGAAAAATATATCGGTAAATCGTTTTAGTGTTCCTTGATAATATAAATTTGTGTACAAAACAGGCTGTATTGTATTATAGCAGTGCCTTTCGGTAATATTTTCAATGTGTTTTCGAAGTGTTTTCTTTCAATTCCAAGGGGTTTTCTGGTTTTCACTTTTTGGTAAGTTTTTTTCCATTCATCATGGATAAGTTGGACGAAATTAAAAAATCTGACGATATAGTCGATTGGTTGCTGACAAATAATTTTAAGTCTTTATCATATGATAAT